CAGACGGACACGCGCATTGGGTTTTGTTATTAGATATTTGTGCGCGTCCACCGGCCGGCAGCATGATGGACCGGTTGCCGCGAACAATAGCGGGGGGGGGGGCGGAGCCGAGCGCGGCAGTGGCATGACGTAGACGAGTCGCTTCTTTGCTTTCGAGTGGAATGCGTGTCGTATGCTCAGTAATCTCAGCTACCCCGCTATTTTATTTATTTTTGCGAGCTATTGCTAACCGATGTACTTTGTGTTCGATATTTCCTATTTCCTTCTGCTTTAAACTCTTATCTTCCTTCTGTGCTTGTGTAATCTCTGCGTTGTTTCCGTGAACGAATAAACTGTGAATAGTAATTTTTGTGAGTATCATTCCGCGGAACCACTACTAACGATTCTACATAATGAATACGTAGCTTCATGCGGGTGCCACACAAGAGACGAAGCCTCAAGCTTGCTTCTTACCAAAGCATTATATACCATTCTTATAGCTACATGAAAACCTCTGACATTGCGGATCACAAAGCCCAGTCTCCTAAAGCAGTCAGCAGCAAGTGTCATGATATAGTTATGAAAAGTGAGGCGCGAATCAAAGTCTACACCAAGATCCTTTATAGAGAAGATACGGTTAATTGACTCGGTTCCAAGCATATAATGTACATGTATCGAGGTACGGGCTCGGCTGAAAGTGCAGACAAAACATTTTGCTGGATTGAAAAGGAGCTTGTTATTCACACTCCACTGGAACACCGCGTTGACATCCTTTTGCAAGGACTCAGCATCTGCTCTCTGCTCGACACCATGTACTAGTTTGAGGTCGTCAGCATAAAGCAGACAACGAGCGTTCTTAAGAACTAATTCCAGATCATTGATCATTGAATTAAATAAGAGAGGACCCAATATTGAACCCTGACTGACACCGGATCGAGTATGATATGGATCCGACACGAAGCATCCATGCTGAACATACTGCTGCCGATCACGTAGATAGCTAGCGAAAAATTTAACCATTAGGGGAGAAGCTAATACGTCCCAGCTTGTTTAGTAGCACATCGTTATCTACGCGATCAAAGGCTTTCTTAAGTCGAAATAGACGACGTCAACCTGAATACCCCTGTTTAGATGTTCAGAAATTAAGTCAACTAAAATCAAAAGATTTGTGTGGACAGAGCGATTGGACCTGAAGCCATGCTGCGAGTCGCATGAAAATGGCTTAATTTGTGAGGATAAGGCCCAATGAAATACAGATTCGAACAACGTGGCTAGAGTGAAGAGAACAGCTGTAGGCCTATAGTTCTCTACATTGACAGCGTCATTTGACTTCGGAATTGATCTTACCCTACTAAGCTTCCACCGGTATGGATATGTTCCAGTTGAGATTGCTAAATTAAACATAAAATGTAAAGAATTTTAAGATGCTCCCTACACCCTTTCACAATATATGGTGGCAGGTTGTCAGGCCCTACCGAACAATCCGTAAAGTTCGGATTGACATGGGGAACATCAGGTAAGAATACCCCAGAGAAGAAACTTGAGAACGCAATAGCAACCTCACTACCGGCAAACTGTCTCCCTTCAAAAGTCACGCCAGATACGAAGCCGCGTCTTGTCTTCAGATAGTCTAAGTGCTGCCAGAAAGCACGTGGATCGCCTTTTACTCCGGTTTGGATTCGATCAAGGTAACTATCATAGGCGGACGATATTTGTTTTTTCACTTCAGACCTCAGCTTGGCGAATTCAGCGTAAATAACTTTGCTTTTAGTGGACTTCCATTGTCGATGGAGATTACTTTTGACCTTCAAATATCTGATTAAATCTGCTGTGAACCAAACTGGATAGCAAATACTAGGCTTCTCTAATCGGATCTTTTTCGGTATACACCTATCAAAAATACAGTACAAGATGTTATATAATAATAATAATATAATAGTATATGATGTATAAGTTTTCCACAGCAATATCAACATCTGAAGCACCTAACACTTCTTAGTATAACAAAGGCCAACCAAATTACAAACAATCAAATGTACAATATTTTTACGATCATATTGGATGGTTATAATTTTAGGTATATATGCTAAACCCCCGCTTAATATTAATAAATAATACTGGTAGAATATGCATATGTTCTGGATACAACATAATTATGACCCTATATGGTATGATGTAAATCAATAATACCTATGAAATAAATAATATTGTAGGCATCGTTTTAATCACATTGGTAACTTCTGACTTTAAATAATTAGAAAGCATCATCAGCAAACTATACAATCTCATGTCTTATCCAATGCTATCCTATGACCATCCACAAGAAACTTAAGTCATTAATATAAACTAAAATCAGTAATGGACCTAGGATTGAACCTTGAGGGACACTCATGCTAAATGATGCTGATTCTTATACCGTTGACAAAGGCACTCAGGATCTTATCACTCAAATACGATTTAAGGACGACATCATGACCCGCCACACCATATAGCGAAGTTTCGTGACCAGAGGTCGCATAGTGCACACAATCAAATGCCTTGTAAAGGTCATGGAATACATCTTCAACTTCATACGAATCTTCCCACATATATGTACGTTACATCATCATCGTTTATGAATCGACTCCGACATAATTTATTTAAGGCTCACATACGGGCATAGAAAAGTAAAAAATAGTCTTAGGTAAAAAAAGTTTCTGTATTTGTTCTAAAGTCTTTGGAATGACATACTGAAATGCATTTTATTAATGCACAAAACACCATTAATGTTCTGCAACTTCTAAAACTACGCTTTGACTCTGTTGCAAACAATTTGCCAGAATATCAGCCAAATGGGCAGGAGCGTCGAGGTTGCCACGTTGAACAGCCAGTTGCCGTAAATCTGAAATTACACGAACACCATTTAAAAGACCAGTAACAATATCAAAACGCCCTATCCGTACGGGTTTAAAATTTTCAAAAACATTTGATTAAAATCCACTCTGCATCAGAGAATTTAAGGTGTGTTTTTAAATGGATTTCTGTCATCATAGATCTGTTACCGGTACCCTGATGTAAGACAGAAGCTTTTACCGTTTACTTACGGAAATCGTGTGTGAAAAGGTTAGAACTGAAATTCGTCTGCAAATATTGAAAGAGGACATCAATTGTTGAAACAGGTTTGATTTTGAATGCAAACTAAAAGTATAAACTTAAAATGTAGGTGACTAACCATAGAGTCGACGATGGCGAACATGATAGCCTGCGCGTGCGCATCCATTGCCCTGCCCGCGCGCTGCAACAGCTCCTCCTCGGGGAACAGCACGCCCGCGTACACGAACATGCCCACGAACACCACCAGTAGAGGGTGGAACAGCAGGCAGAAGGCGCGCCGGAGGAAGGTCGACACTGAGCTGCGATCATAGACGGTAATGTCTGATTTTTTACATTTTGTAAATAACGCATATCCATAGCCCCGCACTAGGGAAACCCATCGCGAGTGCCATGGACACACACATAGACAACCGCAAATTCAGGCCAAACAAAAATGTCTCCAGGGAATCGAACCCGAGACCTTGGTTCGGTAACCGTATGGCCACAGAGGCGGTTAGATAGATGAGAAGAGCCTTAGGGATAAAGCCAGCTGATAAAGCCTCCAACCCGCCTATGCATAAAACTGACCAGATAAATTATAGTACTAGGATCTCAGATATCACAGAATAAACTGACATATAACTTCTCCACATCTCATACACTTACCTCTTCCAAGTATTTTCCTCGACAATAATCCCAGCTACAAGGGCAACAGGAGTGTACAGAGCTGCTACAGCTAAACCGAGACTAAAGTTCTGCATTCCAATAGTCAGACATACAGTGGACAACTCGATGAGAACTAGAATGTTGACTAGAGATAATTCTTCCCTTGAAATGCGACCAACGCGCACGCGCAGAAGGAAGGGGACAAAGAAAGCGAAACTAACGGACATGGCAATAAGACCGTAGAATATTGCTATTTCTGACGGTAATTCGTAATACATGGCACCTGAAAAAAAATTACTTATTTTATGAAAATGTAATAACTTATTGCAAACAACTGAATTTAAAACTAATGTAAGTAACAAGTATAACACTAGACGAGCCCGTGAAAATAAATATGTATGTCCAAAAGCAACTAACTATTATGGCAAAAGTACAAATAGACATCTCTTGCCAATTATATTGAATAAACTCGATTTTTTTGAAAGGCAGAGAATTGTTAAGTAAATTTACATTGAAGAAAAAATCAAAATTTATACTTCTTGAAAGCATGTAAGGATGTTACAAGGATGCTACATTTGTAGCGCAAATTGGAATGTTTTCTTTGTAAAATTTAAAATAAGGTATCATAGATTTCTCATAGATGGCGCTACGACTAAAAAGTCGTTGAAAAACCAAATACAAAGATACGACTCAAGCACATAGAAAAATTCGTGAGGTCCGTTGGTTCGTTCCGTGGCTTAGTTATAGCGTCTGGCACGGTATGCAAAAAGACGTCGGTTCGAATCCGACTGGATCGAAGGATTTTTTTCCGAGTGTTCGATCTTTGTATTAATAATTATATCAAACTAGTGGAGTAATTTCACAAAAAAGAATTGAATATCAATTCAATAAATATTTAATTAAGTATTTAATTAAATAAGGTATTTAATTAATAACTATTAACTATAGTGGGAAAAAATAGGGTGGTTTGCATTAATATTAGACATAAGTGGTTGAAGACTGTATTACCTCAGTCAACCGTGACCATGGGACTTGTAAAGGGCCCGAAACGTCGGTTTGTTTGAAAAAACAAATATACGCGATTTAAATCCGGAAAAATAGTTTCATTTCCTAAATACAGAATATTTTTGGAATATATGGAGACGTACACGCAGGTCAGTTGTTGGCGCTGTCTATAGTTCAGTGCAAACGAGAGTTGATATTTACAGGTGATGTATCACTGATGAGTTACCAGGAGTGTATGGCCTTTATTTCGTCTCTAATAATAATAGGAACATTAATTGATCATATAGTAGTAGTCGCGAAGCGACTTGCGACAACTGATCGCTGCAAGTCTCGCGTCCAATGGTCGCCAGTCGCGACACGCTCCACTAAGCCATTTAGTTCTACAATCATTGACTTACAAAGAAATGGACGTCGGGTCTAACACAAAAACCACGAAAAAAAAGTCCCAAGTCAATCTATTTAAACGTAGTGACATGTAAAGGAATATGAAAAAGCTAAAACGTTGAATTTAAATTGTAATGTCATCGCAGTACTGTCTAATTTTGCTTGCTTCGCTGTCAGTCGAACAAACGAAGACTAAAGCGTGAATGACGCTCTGTATACGATTTTAACGCACTATCAGTTCGGACACTTTTTAGCGCGGACCCGACGTCTATATAATTGTAAGTCAATGTCTACAATGCCATGTTTCGGTCGACCGCAGACGCGAAATATCACCTTCACGCTGCACGAGCCCTAAGACATAAGTTGACAAGTCCCATGTGCCTATAATTTCACGAGAACACTTAACCCTTGAAAACCGGAACGCAGTAATGTTCACATTACTGCTTGGCGGTAGAAGTAGGGAAGGTGGCAGTACTTCCTTGAATTAATTCTTTCACAAAGGGCTTTACTGCTACGAAAATGTTGTTTATATGTTGTTTTAGTCAACAAATAGCGTGTAAAATACAAAAATACATACCAATATAACTAAAAAACGTGGGCGAATTCATAACACCATATCCAATCAAATGCACTATAAAGTAATTAACACCAATATTGACTATGCTCAAAGGCGCCTCGTTCGTTTTCACTTTAGCTTTGTACTTCGGCGGCACTTCCAGTTTCTCATCTCCTGATACATCGCCTTCGCTATGTTTCTTTTTGCGATGGCGCAAAGTGCTGTCTTCGTTCAATTGTTTAACTTCTTCAGAGCCATGGTCACCTAGAAACGTGAAGCGTGACATTTGTTTCAATTGAGCAATATTTTGCTATTTCAACCTAGTCGGTGACACACGCACCCACACACAGCCCCGCACTAGGGAAACCCTGTAACGCGGGTGCAATGAACACACATTATAGACAACCACAAATTAAACCCAAACTCACGAGAGAAATAAATATCGATCATACAAATATTACTTTAACAATATATTTGGGCAAGAAGTTTATAAGAGTCTCTTTAACAAAAACCAGTAGAAACTTCCACTTTGTTTTCACTTTAAGGCGACGAAATGTCATTTTACAGACTATAGTAAAAAACATCATGGTCTTCAATCAAACAAATCCGCGTCTCTAGTGAAAAGGGGTATAAGTCAAAAACCCAAATTTACAAGGAAACGCGAAAAATACTTAACGCTTAATATCACATTAAGCTTTAACTTCGCGTCTCGTAGTTGTGAGTTTGTTTTCTTGAGATTTCGCAACAAGTTTTGTCATAGTAAAAACTATTCAGTTGATGTACACTGGAGGTAGAATATCAATTAATCTACAAACCTTGTTCCCTTGGGTCGGACTCCGAAGTCTTGGCCTTCCGCTTATGTTTAACACTTTTGGGCTTATCATCATCTATTTCTGGATCCTGTTGAATCGACACCCAAAGCGATAAGGCCCGGATCAGCATGGCCACACACGGCAGACAAAGGCACGGCATGTATTGGCCTGAAAATTGACAAGAAGATGATAATCGCAAAACACCAAAACAACTACTTCACTATGGATTGAGATGGTAATGAGAAAGTATGCGCCAAATTAATATATCATTTTGCTTGGACTTAAATTAGTTTTCTTTTTGTAGCAGCACCAACAACATCCACCTATAACTAATTAAAAAATATATTTTCTTTACTTCTTTCCTCTTTATTTTTAATTAAAATAGATAGTATCTATATGAAGAACTGTTAACTGTAGGAGCAATTTTCAAAGCTTTAAAAGAAGCGGTTTCTTACAAAATGTTTTAAATCTATGTAGTGCAAACATATATTGACATAAAGGGGACGGAGGGTAGGGAAGACAAAATTGCAGACAGTAATGAATAAATGGCTTACAAATAAAAATAAATCATTGAGTAGCAATAAGCACATAAAATAAGTAACTCTATTAGAATAGTCCGAAAAAATTAATAAAATTTCATAGTACACTCTTATAATGAGACCAAGTGGATGGTAATGATTAATATTAAAAACGGTAATGACTTACCAATAGAAATAAATCTATTAGTAGCAGCGAGCATGTAAAAGAAGTAGCTCTGATGGAATCTCTCTAATAAGTTGTTAAGACTGCGCAGAATGCTCTCCAATGCGGCTCCGAGGCGGTAGAAGTTCACGGAGGAGAGGGAACGCGCGCGGGGCGGGGATCCGGCAGGATCGGTGGCGTCACGGCCCTCCAGAGTCACGGCTTCAATGCCGAAGCGGTGGAACAGGCCGTGGTTGCCGTTTGGTACCTACGTTCAAACAATCAGTTACAAAACTGGACGGTGACATTGAAAATTCTGATGGTAATGATGGACAATACAGAGTAACCTTTACGTGTACCAAGAAAAAAAATTTGGTTAACAAATATTATTTAAAAAAACATGAAATTGATACCAAATACACAGTTCACATAAGCTTTCGAACATAGCCACAATGTTAATTTACTACATAACAAGAAAATAACTTGGCCACAAGTCAAGAAAGTATTTTAGCAAGCATTACAACGTAACTACTTCCATAATTGGCAAATACTGTGAAGTTAAAGCCACATCATGGATTAGTTAAAATTTTGTACTGCATTTCACTTATAAAAAGCTGATTATTAGTTCGTTTCATGAGAGTTTTAAGGCCAAATATAATACTGTACCTAATGAACATTATTTTTTGAAGATATATAGACACTTACCCCAGCGATTTGAGTGGAAACCATTCCGAGCATAGTCCAAAGGTTGTTCACCCATTCCTCCATCTTGTTACGAGTACGGATCCACGAAAAGCTGCAACGAATATGGGACCAGATAGAACTGCAATTTGAACACATCCTATATGTGTGTTCTGTAGACAAACAATATGCTGGAAAAGCGTTAGGAACGACGTCAACAAGTCATCACTCTTCCATGATAAATAAATGAGCGCTCTAATTGGTGGAAAGCGATTTATATACCGCAAACTATACGAGAGCCACCATGAATATGTCGTATATGTATAACTTACCTGTTTTTATACGAATGATGAATGCCAGATTTTACACACAGTTTATGCACCAAATTAACTAAATCCAAGTTGGGTAGTTGGCCATTTAGACCTTCTATTTTCACTTCTATGTATTCTGTAATAACAATAAATAATGTTGATGAAACTACATTAAGACACCTGTTTATGCATTAAGTTTATTTTCACAAAGTTTCTGCGAGTTACAGGTAGATTTTACGTGAAGAACCATCAAAATGGCTGATAATTATTTTAACCATTTTCGGTTTTTTTTTTTGCGTTTTCATTCTTACTTTTGAATGTTTGTTAACCATGAACGAATAGCATAAAAATCGATGCGAATAAATGGGAAAACAATGGCAGGTGCAAAATACTAAACCAATCTAATAATTTGCGTGATGACTCAAACATTACATAAAAACCATACATTTGTGGAACATTTTTTCCAATCAGTTATAATCAAAATGTAGCAAAGAAAATACAAATTATTGTTCAGTTCCTAATACGCCCAAAATAACGTGGAAAACATATCAACATAATCAATGAAATATTTCCGTTCTTACTAATCTTTGGATCGTGGATCTCCAGGTTAATCGCCGCCTGTATAGAGCCCGAACGCCCTCTCAACGTACCAGGGTTCAGGCATTTCTGGTTTCCAAGGCCAATTTTCTCTATCACCTTTAATTAGAATTCAAAATAATTATTTACGTGACTCATTCTTAACGATATAGTTATTTAAAATTGCTTTAAATTAGATTTAGTTACCAAAATATCTTCGTTCAAGTTAAAAAAGATTACTTCTAAGTAAGGAACTCTGTGGTGTGCCAGGCCTTTAGCCCAAATACTGTCTATAATACATAAATTATAATACGTGGAGAAACCCTTGCATATCCAGGGGAAACTGGGTTGCAATGTACAATAATTCCCTATATTAGCGCTCTCAGAACCTAATAATATGACTAGTAGGCATAATTGTCTGTCTAAATAAAATAAATATCCTAATTTTGTTTTTGAAAATTATAATCAATCAATCGTAACTTATTAAAAGGGTTTCTTTACGTACTGTCAACTTGTTAGTTAAAAATATAAAATTATTAACCTTTCCAAAATCCAAAGCAGGGCCCTTCCAGAAACTGCCTAGGCTGTCGTAAAAAGTGTCTGTATTGGATTGCAAGCCATGATAGGCTTCCAGCCATGCCTGCATACCCAGTTGTTCGTGCTCTGTTACTAGGAATATTATATCTTTTGCCCAGTACTTTTGTGCTAAAAAACAATAAAGGGCAAAAAGTGTAATAAAGGAAAGTCATGATGATGTGAAGAACGTGATAGGTAATATACCTTCGATAGGACCACGGTTGTGTTTAAATTAGAAACGTGGAAGTATTATAATTGGGGAAACTTTTTTACATTACCGTCTCCTTGGGATGGTGATGATTAATTGAGAGTATATACTGTGAAATTTTAATCACCTGAGAAAATTAAAATATGTTTACAAAAATATACAGGGTTATTTGTAAAACACTAACATGCTCGCAGGACTATATTACTAACGTCGTAAACAACTTTTGTTCTATAACTTTTAATAATTTGTCACATTTTACTTTCATATAATAATAATAATAACGCACACACTCAACATAGCCCCGCACTAGGGAAACCCTGTGTTGCGGGTGCCATGGACACACACATAGACAACCACAAATTACACCCAAACTCACGAGAGAAATAAATGTAGTTCATACAAATATTTCTCCCGGCCCGGGAATCGAACCTGGGACCTCTGCGTGCCAGTCCGGCATGGTAACCGTTCGGCCACGGAGGCAGTTTTTCGATATGTTTATAAAAATAAACATATCGAAATAGATCCCTCTAAACGGTGATAACTCTGTGCAATCGCAGGTACGCGGGTGGGGGTCGTCGAGGAGAATGCTTGCACCTTTGAACCCACTACCTTATTAACAGATTCAGACCTAAAAAGTGTCAGATAGTGTAACGAAAAGTTCATCGTTTGGTAAATTTATTATATAAAGTTTTGGAACAAGTTATTGTTTATGATGTTAGTAATATCGTGCTGCGAGGTTGTTAGTATTATACAAATAATCCTGTTTAGCTACTGATAGTCAACAATTGATTTTCATATTTAAAAAATATGTGACACGCCTGAATGTTTATGCTGTGTAATTATAAATAAAAGGGATATACTTACGTCTGGCAAATTGCGCAAAAGCCAACATAAGCGCAATTCCAGCAGTTGTGCCTTTCTGGTGCGAGCCAAGAGAACGAAAAGGAGCCGAAACCACCACTGCTTCCAGTGAAGGTGTCCGGGCAGCGCGCAGTATGCCGTACACGTTTGTGCCTTTATACACCTGCAAGTAATATACGCATTGACCAATAAAAATCTGCCTTTGGTATAATTTGCGAAAATGCAGGGACTTAAATACAGGGATTTTACTCGATCTAAGTTTAAAATAATGTACTAACGTAGTTTATAAGTCTATTGCTAATTTAAATATGGATTTAACGTAAAGCACGAAATAAAAAAAACAGAAACAGACACCTTCAAGTTATACCAACTTGTAGTATACGAGTCCGCCATAATGCTCTGGCCAAATAGAGGCGGCCGCGGATGCGTTGAGGATGCGGGAATTTTTGTAATGTACGTTTATATGAACACTGCCACACTGAAACGCGCGGCAGCCGAACATTTCAGTGTGTCGGGGTTCGTATAAACTCGTACATTACAAAAATCTCCGCGCCCGGAACGCTTCTGCGGCCGCCTCTGTGTGGCCTGAGCATAAAAATATTAACAACTTAAACAAGAAACGTTTTAAACATTATCTCCCAATATTTGGGGCAAAATATTTTGCAACCATTTTGCAACCAATGTCATTTCCCTCCCCATAGAAAAAAGGAGAGCAGGGAATAATTGTTTTGTTTTGCTAAACTTTATTTGTTAAGGTTATTAGTTAGATAGCCTATGGTGAGCAGAATGGTCAGTATGTACTGCCATTAGCATTGTCCCTCTGCTACTTAATTTTGTGTGATCATCACTAATTTAATTACAAGTTAGAGCAAAGGCCAAAATGACTAAAGTTAATGTAACTTGGCTGTGTAGTGCGTTTGGCATGTTTACCATAAATCAAGTAGATTATGTTGTCACCATAAAGCTTAAAAGACATTGGTCTTTTGTTACATGAGTGAGCGAATGGGCACAAAGTTTCATGACTTTGTGTCGATTTCGTTAAAATAACGTAATGCCTTGTAACGGTAATGATAAATTATTAATGGACCTAAATAGAAAATCATTTTACTTGAACTGCAGATTCACAATGTCTGCAGATATTGTGGGGTACATATGGGTGAAAGCCAATGCCACACTGAAGGTCAAACAGTTGGAGCCACGAACAAGAAGTGAAAGTACCAACTCAACATCTGTCGACCTTCATAAAGGAGGACTTTTGGCCGAAAGGTGTCATTTGTGTATTTCCGAAGATGGTTACCGAACATCCACATTGCATCACACGTCATGGTTCAAAAGTATGTAAATAAATTAATAGTGTAAGTGTTTTATTATTATACATGTTCGTGTCAATAAGGTATGCATTCATAGGTCTTTTGTAACCTGAATATAAAATTAATAAATTAATAGATTTATTTCATTGACTTACAAATAAATGGACGACGGGTCTAATACAAAAACCACGAAAAAAATGTCCCAAGTCAACCTATTCGAAATTTAAATTGTTATGTCATCGCAGTATCGCGCTGTCCGTAGAACAAATGAAGACTAAAGCGGAGTGTCGCGCTCTGTATACGATTTTAGCGCCTTACAAGTGCGGACACTTTTTAGCGCTGACCCGACGTCCATATAATTGTAAGTCAATGATTTATTTGATTTATTATGTTCTTAGCTCCGATTGCTATACACCTCCTTGGGCTGAGTTTCATACACTTATTAAATGCCATTATCTGCTAAATGCAAAGTCTGTACTCTTACATAGCATTACATTGGATACATGCTTGTTCACACCACAATTTTGCTGTATAATTAGAGATGCAATTTTGTTGTAAATGATTTTACTCTGATTCAACACATAAGCTTCCATACTCTGCAAACTTACCTGACCATGCCCCATAGGATACTTCAGAGTGAAGTTATGTGTGTAAACCTCCAAATGTAGTTGCGACATCTTGCCCACGAGCCAGGGTATAGGCATATCATCACTGTCTTCATATTTGTCCTGAAAATTAAAATTTTAAATTTATAATATATATTTATATATATATATAATATCCTGTATTGCACATATATGTATATTAAATTTAATATCCCACATTTTTTACCCTTTTTTCGGTGCATTTGGAGCAAAAGTATATGGTTTTGAGGTTATTGCTTTCGAATTTTGAAAAATTAATATCTCGAAACTACATAGAAGCATCCTAACTTTGAAACTTGGCAAGGGGTCTCCTCCCCTCCCCAGTCCCTCACCATCCCCTCTGGCGTCACGTTTTGTAAACTCCTTCCTTATGTTACATGGAAAACTAAAAAGTTTTAGCTTTTTGCACATTACACATTTTACCTTTTGAGAGTCAATATGGTTTTAAGGTTATTATTTTACAAAACTATCCAATTGCATCCGCCCAGAAAGCCCTGGTTCGAGGAGAGTAGCCTATCAAAGTCACTGTTAACAATTGCTCTTAGACTGCTTTCTGGTCACATTCCATTAAATAAATGTTACTATTTCATGAGAAGAGCAGAATCCCCTCAATGCCTCAATGCAACAAGTTGGAAGACATACTTCATTTAATGGAATGTGATCAATACATGGGGTATTGGGCTCAATATCAATTAAAAGACATTGGTCAGATACAAGAACTAAATTTAATGCTGAGCAACCCGTTGACGAAGAGTGCCGAAGCTCGATACTCCTTTGTGAGGTCTTGCTTTCTGATGAGGAGCAATACCTCACATGGGAGCAGTGACAGACAAAGTAGGATAGTTATTTATATGTATACATACATTACGAGGCCGACATAAACACTTGAACGTTTCAGGCCTCTTAAAACTAGATTTAAAAAAATGTTATTATTTACAAATTTTTAAATATTAATGTCTTGAAAACTATTAATGTCTTCCCTTATTTCAACGTCAACTATTTTAAAATCCTAGCATTAAATGTTTTAAAGAACGAACACGCTTTTCATTATTTATTAATTACAGACGTGTAGCTTTCGCTTGTCTTCATGACAGGATAGATATTATAATACGACAAAATGCTGAAAAAATGTACCTGAAGCTCCAGTATGAACTCATTATAGAACTGTTTGGCCGCATATTCACCGTTAAATTCGTTCGTAACTAGTCCAGGTAATAACGCATTTTCAGAGAAATATGTCTCATTATTGAACTCCTTATGGCCTAGCATAGCGAACCATACTATCGCTCCGATGTAACATATGATACATAAAGGTTTATGGATCTTTTTCAACACACGAACCCATTTCACCGACCCATACTCGGGGTCCGACAAAAGTCCCATTTTTACGAAAAATCTTGTATTTATAACCAATTATACTGAAAGTATATTACATTAATACTGTAATCTCAACGATTTTAATTCATTTTACAATTATTTAAATTATTTTTTAACAGATAACAGCTCAATATCCCCAAATTCACTTCACTTTTTATTTTTATGGCTCCATCAATATGAGAACTGATGATTTTGCCAATGTCACAGTTGAAAGAAAAAAAAACGAAACAAAAAAAAAAATTTTCGCTAAGCTCTAATAGGACATTAACCGGTGTTGGTAAGTTGGACTACGGGAGTACTCAGTTGAGAATGTAAAACAAAACAGCAAAACAATATTTATAAATACTTGCAATACTCGAAGCCATTTTATATATTGAGTCCCATAAAATTAATAAATGTTTGGTTTTCTCAGACTCACTAAGTTGCCTCCAAGACATTATTAAGCTACCGTTTCATTCCAAAGACAATTTCTCCATCACCCTCCAAATTAAGGAAGCTCTGTACCGATGTCATTGTGCGGGAATCCCCAAATTGATAGTTTATCAAAATGGTTTTGACACTTGACAGTTGACGCAAAGTGACAGCTCATACTTAGTAACAAAATATAATTGTTACAGCCTAGTTTTAAGTTGCTTTCAAACAATTAATCTTAGTTGTTTTTGCATTTTAATTAATTTAAATTGAGAAATAGAGCTATATATACGTTGGAGTTGTAGTAAGTTAAAGGTATAATATATCCAACATCATATCGATGCCGGAAAGGTATAACATTTAAGGGCACGTTCCCATTATGTCGTAACGTTATATTTATCGTCTGACGACAGTCCCGTCTAGCCTGTTCCCATTAGATCGTGACGACAATTTATCGGTTCACGGCAGCCGCCTTGTCATTTGTACGACAGAATCATTTGAAGTTGCGATTATCTATCGTTATATCTTTAGCGTGACATTTTATTTAATGTCAGACGACTGTCTTTTGTAGCTCATCCCATTATCACGATAGACTGTCGTTGTCAGATTTGATACGTAGGCACCTTGGCAAATGCACAAATGATCTACTCACCTCCTCTCTATTCCTATCCTAAAAAACCTTAGACTATGGAAACTAAAGGACATGTTACGTTGACATATATAAATCAGACGTTATGTATATATATATATGATGCATTTCGACGTCGAAAACATAAACATGTTATTGTCTTTGTAACTATTACGTGCCGTCTTAAGCCAAAAGAGATAGCATTACGTTGTCAAACTGTGTCAAACACGGGAATCGAAAATATGTAACGTCATCTTAAATGCCAACCGTGTCCATTTCGCAATACATGATATCGCTGTCAAAGGGAAGTACATCAAATGTCAAACAAATGTTTTCCAAATGTACTATTGAATTATTCGCATGTATTATTTATTTATTTATTTATTTATTTATTTATTTATTTATTTATTTA